GAATGCCTGTCATCAAAAAGACAGACACCACTGAGGGTCAGTGAAGCTGTAGAGAAATTGCAAGTCTCCTGCGTTGCTAGTGGGAGTTAAATGAGGGTGTAAAGTGCTACCACTTTGGAAGGCAGTTTGGCATTTCTTCAAAAGATAAATGTCTATGACCGGAATCCCACTCCCAGTTTCTCATCAGAGAAATGAAAACGTGTTCACACGTAAGTGGTTCTGAGATCTGAACTCAGGACCCAGGAGAACTCCAGGTACCGTTCCTCAAAACCCACTAATAATAGACTTGACTTTTATGTAAGAATCAGCTGCATGTCAATAACTTCTTTTTTCATGTTACGAATTTCCGTTTACCCCACAGCAAGGAGACGGCGCCCTGGGCTCATCTGCACAGGGGTAAGTTGCCAGCTTCCTGCAGTTGCTTGGTCACTGAAGAATAGCTGTATTCTTTTCTTAACTCAAATGACTGGAAAATAATTCACCTGTGATGAGACATTTTGGCATCATGGGATGATGCAGTAGAAGATAAAATAGTTCTGTTTAACTTTGTTAAATTATACCAAATCATCTATCTCGATGTGCTTGTTTTACTTGCAGAAACTACATTCTTCACTCCCTTCTTCATAACTAACATCTAAACTAATGCACAAGAATAAGACCCCCTTGTTTATTTCTACATCTCTGCATGAACACGTGTAGTTGTGAGTCTGAATGTATTTCTGATGATCTCTAATAGTGTTTCGTGTAAATTGTAAGCTCTGAGAGTCCAACCCGTTCCTGAGTCAAAGTGGTAAGTAAATGGGAGCTCTGGGGGTGCCGTGACCCTGGAGCCCCACCCAACAGGGCCAGGGTTGGCTTCACAAACAGGGTTTCAGGAAGCGTCTTTGAGCCAGTGTTGTGCAGTGCAGGTTGTTTTATTTTGGAGGCTAAGAGTCAAAGGGCATGTGCATTTTCCGTCTTCACAGACTCTTTCTGATGACTTCCCCAAAAGGGTGGAGCAGTTCACACTTCATTCAACCCTGTCACTCTTTTCGGCATGAGATACTAACAATATGTTTAGTTTTATTCAAAGAAAATATATAATATTTTAATATGCATTTCCTTACTACCATTAGGACTGAAGATTTCTTCATGTTTTGACCATTTTACCATTTTTCTGGTGTGAATTAACGTTCAACAGTTGGGTTATTTGGATTATCAAACATAGTGACTCTTTGCATATTAGGAACCCTATGGGATCTTTCACCGTGTAGAGGTTGTAAACTTTTCTGAAGCCAAATTTGTGAAAATTGCCTTTTATCTTGCCTTAAAAAGCCTTCTTTAAGGTTATACAAATATCCTCCAATACTTTTTGCTAATATAGTCCTATTTTTTGTTTGTTACCTTTACATTTTGACTTTTCAGGCCAGATGGCATTTATTTTTGTATTTGGTAACAGAGGAGCTAAGGTTATTTAATCCCAACAAAGTAACTGTTGGTTTTCACCTCTTGTATTAGATAATGTTCCTTTCCCCTCATACTGAAAGGCCCTTTCCTGGCTCGCTGTGTTTCCCTGAACGCAGACCAAGGTTTGTGTCTGGATGCTCGTCTCTGTCTCATGGGTCTGTGTCCTGGAGCTGCATGCACCATCTGTTTAAATTATGGAACCTTATTTAGCTACTGTATTTTAGTATCTGGCAGGCAAACCTCTGTCTAAAGATTTTTTTTTCATTTTTCATTTACTTTAAACAATTCTTACACATTTGTTTTTAAATATGAGCTTTAAAATCACTCTGTCCAGTTTCAAGAAACATGAAATTCAAACTGGAGTTGCATTAGCCACAGGCCTGCCCTTGGGAGGGGCCTGCATCACAGCCCCCACGGAGAAGCAGCAAAGTGTCTGAATTTCACTTTGGACTATCATGGAACGGTGGTCCTTTAAGTAAAATAGAAAAATGCTTTCTCTGTGATGCATTTTGGGCAAGATTAATAGAAACCTAAGTATAACCAGAATTGTAAACTTCCACTCGAAAACCAAAACAAAATGAAAAACAAAAAATTTTAATGATTGCCAAGTCAACATATATACATTGTAGAAAATTTGGGAATGGCAAAGATTGCCAGTTAGAAATGAAAGTCATGTAGAGTCCCTGACTCACCCTCAGCCACTGTGGGCACCTGGCCTGGTGTCTTCCCGGTTGTCCTTTTGAATGATTTTTATGTGTACGATGTGCATGAAGTGCTGATTTATAAATTCTAGTCACCTTGTACAACTGTTTTGGAGCCTGCTTTTGAACTTCAAATATTGTGAGCATTGTTCTCTTAAAGGGAAAAAGAATGGCTTGTATGGGTATAAATCATCCCGTCTTTGGGATCTGTTACGGTCCCCATTTCTGGAATAGTGTGTTTAATTTTCAGTCCAGTCTGTGCTTTTCTGACAGACTGATGAGCTAACCTCATGCGGAAAGGGTTAAGATGTTACAAGTAGGATAAAGACAGTGCAAGTTGACAGGTCCTCTAGATGCCATGGGTACCAAGACACCCATCGCCCACCTTCTGTTGTGGGAACTGTTTGCAGGCCACCTGGTAGTTTGGAACACTTGCCACGTGGACAGCTAACCACTCACAGCCATGGTCTTCACTGCAAGCCTGGCGTCGCCCATCACAGAGTTCCTCCGTATCGGGAAAGACATCTGCATCCTATGGCACTGTGCCAACACCAAAAAAGTCCTGTCACTAAATGCCTGTGGAGAGAGAGATGTGAAGCACAGTCAGAGTTTAGGGGGAGCTTAGGGAAGGGTGCACGGTGTCTGCTGCAATGGTAGCTATCAGGCCGGTTCACAGAGAGCATTTCTTCGAAACGGTCCATCACAGCCCGTGTTTCCTCTGCGCTGCTTCGGGTGTTTCAATGCGGGGTGTGCTCAAGCGGAGCAGACAGGATGCAAACGTGGACACAGCAGGGCCCCACAGGCTTCCCGTCTAACTTGAGGGGGGTTCCCATCAGCTCGTGTCCACCAGGTGGCTGGTGTTAGCTTCCCATTTGCCGCAGCAAATTACTACCAATCCAGGCATTCAGCAAGCACTCCGAGTCAGCTCCGTGGGTCCAGGCCTGGCTAGCCCAGCGGGTCTGTGCCGAGGGCCTTGCAGGGCAGGAGGCGCGGTCGGTGGCCAGAGTCCTCTCTGAGGCTCCTGCGGAAGAATCTGCCCCAAGCTCATTCAGGACCCAGTGGGAATCCTGGCTCTCTCGGGCCCCATGTAGCCCCTCGAACTTCCTGTCAGCACCGGGCGTCGCATCCTCCCTCTCGGGCTCCATGTAACCCCTCGAAGTTCCTGTCAGCACTGGGCGTCGCATCCTCCCCTGCTTTCAGTCTCTGGGTTCTTCCTCCTCATTTCTCTGTTTTTTGAGGCTCAGGGGATTCCATGGGGCCTGTGTGGATAATCCAGTTCCCTCCTCCTGTCTTAGTGTCCTCTGTCTGCTGCAAGAGATGGCCACGAATGGGTAACACTGTGGACTCCAAAGTGCCACTCTGTCCATTTGCCAGTGAGCCAGGCTGCACCGACGGAGGACACACGCTGGCTGAGGCTCTGGTCTAGGGCGGGGCCCGCACAGTGGGAGGGGGCCCTGCTTTGCAGTGTCCGAAGTGGGCAGGAGTCCTGGTCCTTCACACAGGAAGCTCCTTGTGTTTCCCACTGTGCAGTAACCCGGGAGCACTCAGGCAACCTCCCAGGAGCTGCTGGTCTCCTGGTCCTGAGGCACATGGTCCCCACAGCAGTGGTGCTTACAGGACACGCTGCAGCCTCCAGTGCCGCCCTGAGACCCCCACAAAACTGAGATGAGTTTCTCTCCTCCTGCCTGTCCCACCAGAGACAAGGCCAAGAATTCTCTGCTGACGTTTAAGTGCCTGTATCACCACTCCACTCCCTTACCCTCGGACAAGAGCTCGTCGGAACAGGTAAGTTACAGTCACCGGCAATGTACCCTGAGAATGGGGTCGTGTGCAGAATGTGTGGTCTGAGGTCCCCCAAGCTGAGGTTAAGGTGGTATTCAGATGGAAGCACTCTGTGTCCAAGGGTGCTGCTCCCATGGGAGTGATGGTGGGTGGAGCACAGAAGAGAGATGGAGTGAGAGGCAGGAACGCTTCCCAGCTGTGGGTGAGAGACACAGACGGGTACCAAAGCGGGAGCCCCCACACTGGAGCGCCACCGTCAGGCTGCGGTGATGGGCAGATGCCCAGGGCAGTCTCTGAAGTGCCCAGAACACGCAGCGAGGGACAGTGCTGTGATAAAGAATAGAGGGAAATTGTTAGCCATGTCTGTTCCCTAACAATAGAGGGAAATTGTTAGCCAAAAGCGTGTGGTTTTGTGTGTGGCGTGTGGTCACGTGTATATGTGTGAATGGTGTGTGTGTGTTACATGGACTCCGTGTCTGTCCTTCACAGGAAAAGACCAGCACGGCTGCTGGCTTTAGGGCCACGTATTTCTGTTCCTGCTCTGGGGCTGGATTCCAGAGGTTTCTGCTGGGTCATTATTTATTTTTTAAAGATGGGATCTCACTCCGTCACCCAGGATGGATTGCAGTGGCGGGATCAGGGCTCACTGCAGCCTCTACTTCCTGGGCTCAAGCAACCTTCCCACCTCAGCCTCCTGAGTAGCTCAAAGTCTAGGCGTGTGCCACCACACCCAGCCAATTTATTTTTTATTTTTTGTTTCTTAAGCGGTGGGGTCTCACTGTGTTGTCCAGGCTTGTTTGGAACTTCTAGTCTCAAGTGAGCCCCTGGCCTCAGCCTCCTATAGCACAGGGATTACAGGAGTTAACCCCCTACCAGGGTGCAGGGGGGTCCTTTTGAGCAGGCTTTGTGAAGCGGCCAGTTTCTGGAGGTTACAGGTGACTTCCCCTTCTCTGTGGGGGCAGGGCCACCTCACCACACTTCCCCAGGACTTCAGGGAACAGGCTCTTGAGACTTGGAAATGAAAGGGGATCAGCCCAGCCTGGAGAAATAGCAACACTTGTGTCCAAGCCTTGCCCCTTGCCTGCACTTCCAGAGAAGATTTGGAGACACACTCAGTGGAAACCGATGGAGCCCCCAGCCCTCCCCCACCCAGACTCAGCCACCAAAGTTCCCTCACTGCATGTGGCACACGGGCTCACGGGATTTTCTCTGCCTGCGATCGTCCGCGTGGACACCTGCTGCCCGGGTGCAATCGTGAGTCCCCTCGGTCTCTCCGCAGCGTCTCGCTGTAGATGATGATTTACAGTCACTCTCACATGAAGCCACATGACGCCTGGTCTGAAGCAGAGAAGATCCGCTCAGCATGAGGTTGAATCCCAAGCCCGCATCTCTGTGGGCTACCGGACAATCCTACGAAAGCGACTCTGTTGGTTCATTGTTCACATCGGGGAGGAGAATTCCGTCTGAAAGTGAGCGTGACTTCACTGGCACCCGCGTCCGTGGCACAGCCCTGTGCTGCGCTCCACAGACCTGCAGTCCATCGCCTCCCCTCGGAGTGGGCCTGCGGCTGCAGACAGCGTTGTCCCAAGAAGACAGCCTGAGTAGATGAATGGAACAAACCGGAAACTCCGTCACAGACCTCCTATTAAGAGGGGAAAACTTTAACATTTCTATAAAAATCATAGACTATCTTTATGATGTTTTAGGCAATGTTTTCTTTGATATACACCAAAAACACTATTTCAGAAAAAAAGATAAATTTGACTTTAAACATTTAAAATTATTTTTTCAATTGTACCATTAAGAGAATGAAAATATAAGCTACAGACCAAAATTAAATATTTGCAAGTCATATACTTGTATCCAGAATATTTAAAGAATCGTGAAAACTCAACAACAAGAAAGCAGCTCAGTTTTTAAGTGGGCAAAAGAGTTGAGCATACTCTTCACCAAGGCAACAATATCCGCGAGAAATAAAGCACATAAAATAGTGTGTCACATCACTTGACATCAGGGAATCGCAAGCTAAAACCACAATAAGATACCGCTGTGCCCCTATTAGAATGGCTACAAGAAAAACGAGTAACAATACCACCAGGCATGGTGGTTCACACCTGAAATCCCAGAGCTTTGGGTGGCCCATGAGGCAGGAGGATGCCTTCAGGCCTGGAGATAGAGACAAGTCTGGGCAACATAGCAAGATCCTGTCTCTTAAAAAAATAATAATTAAAAAGAAGATGATCAATACCAAGTGTTGGTGAAGACATCGGAGAACTGGAAGTCTCATCCATTCCTCGTGGGGATGAAAGATGATGCCACATCGGCAAGCACTCTGGCAAAGCTTCAGATGCTGAGCGTATACTTATCATATGACCCAACATTCCCACTCCCAGGTTCTTACCCAGGAGCATGGAAAACAACATGTGTGCACATGTAGCAGGTGTTTTTCTTTGCTAGAGATTCCACAGGGAGGAACCACACATGGGGTGTTGGAACAAGAAATGTGTTTTCTCACATATCTGGAGGCTGGAAGTCCCAGAGCACAGTGTCTGCAGGGTTGGTTTCTCCCAAGGCCTCTCTCCTTGCCTTGTACATGGCCACCTGTTCTCTACGTCCTCCCACAGTCTTCCCTCTGTTTTTGTCTCTGTCACAATCTCCCCTTCTTAAAAGGACACCAGTCACTGTGGATTAGGGCTCACCCTAATAGCCTCATCTCACGTCGGTTACCTCTTTCAAGACCCTGTCTCCACATACAGTCACATCACTGGGTGTCAGTATGTCCCTATGAATTTGGAGGAGGATATAGTTCAGCCCATAATACAAGGATTGGGAGGAAGGGTGCTGTGCCACCGCTGAGATCCTATTCCATGATCCAGGCATCCCTGAAGTGCTGTTACTCAGAACTGACTAGTAATGAACTTGAATTTAGAGAGTAAGCTCAACGTCAACAAGGTCTTTGTTCATCCTATGAATTTTGCTTCACTTCCCCACAGGAAGCCGATGATGAACCGAGTCCATCTTCACTGGGGTAAGTTCGTAAGCTTAATGGGCATGTTTTATCTATCAGTAACATAGTTGTACACTCGTCTGGTTGGCCTCGCAAACAGGATTTCCAGAAGTGTCTTTGAGCCAGTGTTGTGCTGTGTAGGTCATTTTATTTTGGAGGCTCAAAGTCAAAGGTCATGTGCATTTTCAATCTTCACAGACTCTGTATGGTGACTGTCTCAAAAGGTTGGTACAGTTCACCCTTCCTTCAACTCTTGTCACTCTATCAGCCTGAGATACTAAGAGTATGTTTAGTTTTATTCCAATAATTTCAATTGCATCTCTTTACTACCATTAAGACAATATTTTTTCATGTTTTGACCATTTTACAGTTTTTCTTGTGTGAATTAATGTTCAACTGTTGGATTGTTTGGATTATCAAATGTAATAGCTCTTTGTATATTAGGAACCCTATGGGATCTTTCACCATGTAGAGGTTGTAAACTTTTCTGACGCCAAATTTGTTAACATTTCCTTTTGTCTTGCTTTAAAAAGCTTCATTACTCTAAGGTTATATAAATATCCTCAGACATTCTTTTCTTATATAGTTATAATTTTTATTTTTATTTTATTTCAATAGTTTTGGAGAACAAGGTGTTTGTTGCATGGAAAAGATTTTCAGTGTTGATTTCTGAGATTTTGGTGCACCCACCACCCGAGCAGTGTACACTGTACCCAAGGTGTAGTCTTTTATCTGTCACCCTCCTCCCACCGTTTCCCCTGAGTTCCAAAAGCCCATTAAATCATTCTTACGCCTTTGCATCCTCATAGCTTGGCTCCCTCTTGTAAGTGAGATAGTATGATGTTTGGTTTTTCATTCTTAAGTTACTTACACTAGGAATAATGGGCTGCAACTCCATCCAGGTTGTGTGAGTGCCAATATTTCATTCCTTTTTATGGCTGAGTAGTATTCCATGGTATGTACATATATAGAGATCACAAATATATATCACATTTTCTTTATCCACTGATTTATTTTAGGCTGGTTTCATGTTTTTGCAATTGCAAACTATACTGCTATAAACATGTGCGTGCTAGTATCTTTTTCATAAGATAACTTATTTTCTTCTGGGTAGATAGCCAGTAGTAGGATTGCTGGATCAAATGATAGTTCTACCTTTAGTTCTTTACAGAATCTCCATACTGTTTTTTATATTGGTTGTAATCGTTTACGTTCCCACCAGCGGTGTAAAAGTGTTCCCTTTTCAACACATCCATGCCAACATCTGTTCTTTCTTTATTTTTAAAATTATGGCCATTCTTCCAGGAATAAAAAGTGGTGTTGCATTGTGGATTTTATTTGCATTTCCCTGATAATTAGTGATGTTGAGCATTTTTTCATATGTGTTGGCCATTTGTATATCTTCTTTTGAGAATTTTCTCTTCATCAACTTTGCCCACTTTTTGATGGGATGATTTTTTTTTTTTTTGAGATGGTCTCACTCTGTCATCCAAGCTGGAGTGCAGTGGCACGATCATGGTTCACTGAAGCCTCCACCTCCCAGGTTCAAGCGATTCTCCTGCCTCAGGCTCCCAAATAGCTGGGATTACAGGCGCCCACCAGCATGCCCAGCTAATTTTCTTGTTGTTAGTAGAGGCGGGGTTTCGCCATATTGGCAAGGCTGGTCTTGGACTCTTGATTTCAAGTGATCCACCCTCCTTAGCCTCCCAAAGCACTGGGTTTACAGTCATGAGCCACCATGCCCAACTGGATGATTTGTTTTTTTCTTGGGGATTTGTTTGAGTTCATTTTAGATTCTGGATATTATTCCCTTGTCAGATGTATAGATTCTGAATATTTTCTTCCTTTCTGGGGTCTTGTTTACTCTGCTTATTGTTTCTTTTGTTGTGCTGAAGGTTTTTAGTTTAAAATAAAGAAAATTAAGATAAATTGCATCTATTTATCTTTGTTCTTGCTGCATTTGCTTTTGGATTCTTAGTCATGAGCTCTTTGCCTAAGTCAATGCCTGGAAAAGTTTTTCTGATGATATCTTGTAGATTTTTGAATGCTTTCAGGTCTCAGATTTAAGTCTTTGATCCATCCTCAGTTGATGTTGTAAAAGGTGCGAGGTGGGGATCCAGCTTCATTCTTCTACATGTGGCTTGTGAATTATCCCAGCACCATGTATTGAATAGGGTGTCATTTCCCCACTTGATATTTTTTTGTTTGTTTGCTGAAAATCAATTGGCAGTAAATATTTGGCTTTATTTATGGGTTCTCTGTTCTGTTCCATTGATCTATATGTGCCTATTTCTATATTAGTACCATGCTGTTTTGGTAACTCTAGTTTTGTAGTATAGTTTGAATTCAGGTAATGTGATGCCTCCCAAAATCATAAAGAGCAAATGATTTAGCCTCCCAAAGGACTGGGTTTAAAGTCTTTTGGGATTTGTTCTTTTTGATTAGTCTTGCTTGTCTTTGTGTTGTCTTTTTTGGTTCCATATGAATTTTAGGATTGTTTTTTCTAGTTCTGTGAAGAATGATGATTGTATTTTGATGGGACTTGCATTAAATTTGTAGATCGCTTTTGGCAGTATGGTCATTTTCACAATACTAATTCTACCCATCCACGAGCCTGGGATGTGTTTCCATTTATTTGCATTTTCTATGATTTCTTTCAGCAGGTTTTTGTAGTTTCCTTGTCGAGATCTTTCACTTTTTGGGTTAGGTATATTCCTAAGTTTGTTTTGTTTTGTTTTGTTTTTTCAGCTGTTGCAAAAGGGGTTGACTTCTTCATTTGATTCTCAACTTTCTCATTGTTGGCACTTAACAGTGTTGCTGATTTTTGTCCATTGATCTTGTATCCTGAAATTTTACGGAATTCATTTATTAGATTTAGGAGCTTTCTGGATGAGTCTTTAGAGTTTTCGAGGTATACGACCATATCATCAGTGAACAGGGACAGTTTGACTTCCTGTTTTCTAATTTGGATGCTCTTTCTTTCTCTTGTCTGATTGCTCTGGCTAGGCCTTCCAGTTCCATGTCAAAAAGAAGTGGTGAAAGTGGGCATCCTTGTCTTATTCCAGTTCTGAGGGGCAATGCTTTCAACTTTTCCCCATTCAGTATAACGTTGGCTGTGGGTTTGTCTTAGAGGGCTTTTATAACCTTGAGGTATGTCCCTTCTGTGTTGATTTTGATGAGTGTTCTATGTATAAAGGGATGGTAGATTTTGTCAAATGCTTTTTCTGCATCTATTGAGATGATCTATGGTTTTTAAAAAATTCTGTTTGTTCGAGGTATGACATTTATTGACTTTCATATGTTAAGCCATTCCTGCATACCTGGTATGAAACTCACTTGATGATGGTGTATTATCGTTTTGATACGCTGTTTGATTCAGTTAGCTAGTATTTTGTTGAGGATTTTTGCATCTATATTCATGAGGGATATTGGTCTGTAGTTTTCTCTTTTTGTTATGTCCTTTTCTGGTTTAAGGTGAAACTGGCTTCATAGAATGATTTACAGAGGATTCCCTCTTTATCTTTTGGAATAGTTTCCATAAGATTGCCACCAGCCTTTCTTTGGATGCCTGATAGAATTCAGCTGTGAATATGTCATGGCCATCTTAGTTGGCAATTTTTTTTATTACTGTTTCAATCTTATTACTTGTTATTAATCTGTTAAGAGTTTCTATTTCTTCCTGATTTAATCTAGGTGGGTTTTATTTTCAGGGATTTACCAACTCCTCTAGATTTTCTAGTTTGTGTGCATAAAGATGTTCATATTGGCCTTAAATAAGATCTTTTGTATTCCTGTAGTATCAGTTGTACTATCTCTCATTTCATTTCTAATTGAGCTTATTTGGATCTTTTCTCTTCTTTTCTTGGTTGGTCTTGCTAATGGTCTATGAATTTTGTTTGTCTTTTCAGAAACCCAGCTTTTTAATTTTCTTTTGCAGTTTTTGTGTGTGTGTGAATTTCATTTAGTTCTGCTCTGATGTTTGTTATTACTTTTCTTCTGCTGGGTTTGGGTTTGATTTGTTCTTGTTTCTCTGGTTACTTCAGGTGTGACCTTAGATTATCTATTTGTGCTCTTTCAGTGTTTTTGATATGACCATGTAGTGCTGTGAACATTCCTTTTAGCATCGCTTTTACTGTGTCCTAGAGGTTTTGATAAGTTGTGTCACAGTTATCATTCAGTTTGAAGAATTTTTAAATTTCCCTCTTGATTTCATTGTCAACTCAAAGATCATTCAGAAGCAGTTATTTAATTTCTACATATTTGTGTAATTTTGCAGGTTCCTTTAGGAGTTAATTACCAATTTTATTCCCCTGTGGTCTGAAAAGATACTTGATGTAATTTTGATAACTTATATTCATTGAAACTTGTTTTGTGGCCTATCATATGATGTGTCTTGGAGAATGTTCCATGTACTGATTAAAAGAATGTACATTCTGCAGTTGTTGATAGAACGTTCTGTAAGTACCTGTCAAGTCCGTTTGTTCTAGGGTATAGTTTAAGTTCATTGTTTCTTTGTTCACTTTCTGTCTTGATAACCTGTCTAGTGCTATCAGTGGAGTATTGAGTCCATCACTGTAATTGTGTTTTCATCTGTCTCATTTCTTACATCCAGTAATAATTGTTTTATAAATTTGGGAGGTCCCTCATTAGGTGCATATATGTTTAGGATTGTGATATTTTCCTTTTGGAGGGATTCTTTTGTCATTGTATAATGTTGCTCTTTGTCTTTTTTAACTGTTGTGGCTTTAAAGTCTGTTGAGTCTGGTATCAGAATAGTTCCTCCTGCCTGCCGTTGGTTTCCATGTGTATGGCATATCTTTTCCACCCCTTCACCTTAAGTTTATTTCAGTCCTTATACATTAGGTGCGTCCCTTGAAGACAGCAGATACTTGGTTGGTGGATTTTTCTCCATTCTTCCACTGTGTATTTTTTAGATGATGGTTTTAGGCCATTTACATTCAATGTTAGCATTTGGATGTGAGGTACTGTTTTATTGATCATGCTAGTTGTTGCCTGAATACCTTGGTTTCTTTCTTTGCATTACTGTTTTCTCAGTCCTGTGAGATTTATACTTTAAGGAGGTTCTATTTTGGTGTATTTTGAGGTTTTATTTTAAGATTTGGAACTCCTTTTAGCATTTCTTGTAGGACTGACTTGGTAGTGGCTAGTTCTCTCAGCATGTATTTTTCTGAAACAGACATTGTCTCGACTTCATTTAGGAAAGTTAGTTTTGCTGAATACAAAATTATTGGCTGTTAATTATTTTGTTTGAAGAGGCTAGAGATAGGACCTCAGTCCCTTCTAGTGTGCAGAGTTTCTGCTGAGAAATCTGCTGCTAACATGAGAGGTTTTCCTTTAGAGGTTACCTGATGCTTTTACATCACAGCTCTTAAGATTCTTTCATTTGTCTTGACTTTAGATAACCTGATGACTATGTGCCTCAGTGATGATCTTTTTGCAATGAATTTCCCAGGCATTCTTTGAGTTTCTTGTCTTTGGACGTCTAGAACTCGTGCCAGGCCAGGGAAGGTTGCCTTGATTATTTCCTGAAATAAGTTTGCAAACTTCTACTATATTTCTCTTCTTCCTCAGGAGCACTAACTATTTTTAGGTTTGGCTATTTAACATAATCTCTAAGTTTTTGGAGGCTTTGTCTTTTTTAAATTCTTCTTTTTTTCCCCCTTTGTCTGGCTGTGTTAATTTAAAAACCTTGTCTTTGAGTTCTGAAGTTCTTTCTTCTACTTGTTGGATCCTGCTGTTGAAATTGTCCAGTGCATTTTGTATTTCTGTTTGTGTGACTTTCATTCCAGAAGTTGTGACTGTGTTTTTTTTTTTAGGATCTCTATTTCCATGGAGCACTTTTCATCTTATCCTGTATTGATTTTTAAAATTCTTTGTGTTGGTTATCACCTTTCTTTGGTATCTCCTTGAGTAGCTTAATAATCAACCTTCTGAATTCTTTCCAGCAATTCTGATTTTCTTCTTGGTTTGGATCTATTGCTGGGGAGCTTGGGGAGCCAGTGTGGTCTTTTGAGGGTGGACTACTACCCTGTTTCAACATATTACCAGGATCACTTGTCTGATTCCTTCCCAAGTGTGTAGATTATTTCAGTGGGAAAATCTGGAACTCAAGGGCTGCTGGTCAGATTCTTTAGTCCCATGTGTGGTCCCTGATTTGTGCACTGCCCTTTCCCCTAGAGATGGAGCTTCCTGCAACCCAGACAGCAGTGATTGCTATTGTTCTTCTGGGTCTCTCCACCCAGCAGGGCTACCAGGCCGGTGCTGGGGAATGTCTGCACCGAGGCCTGTGATGTGATCCGTCCTCAGGTCTCCCAGCTGTGGATGCCAGCACCTGCCCTGGTGGAAGTGACAGGGGACTGAAGTGGACTCTGTGGGGTCCTCAACTGTCGATAGTTTTAATATGCAGACTTTCTCAGAGGCTGGTTATTCTAGCAGTGAAGTTGTCACGTGGACACACTCGGGACCTCTGGTTATCCAGGATGTTGCAGGAGGTGGAATAAGCTCTTGTTTTCTCCTTCCTAGTAGCAGAGTTATTCTGTCATGAGTTGCTGTTATGTTCTGAACTGGTTGGCCTCCAGCCAGGAGGTGGCACTTTCGAGAGAGCAGCAGAGTTGTCACCTGTCCTGTGGAATTTGCTGTGGCCTATAGTGTCTTCCAAAGTTTCTGTGACTTTTTTTGTTTTTTCTGGTATGCTGCCGTTGTGGTTCCTGGGATGAAAGTCCGCAGCATGAGTCTCCACATGCTGTTCTGTTTGTCCACGTGAGTGCTGCACATCAGCCCCGACTCCCATCTGCCATCACCCTTCAGAACCTGTCTTAGGCACTGGTGTAGGGCAGGTCTCACACGGTGGATGGAGGCACTACTTTGCATTGTCCAGTGGCAAAGAGTCATGGTCCTTTACACGACAAGCTCCTTATGTTTGCCACTGCGCATAACTCAGGAGAACTCTAACAACCTCCCGGGAGCTGCTGATCTCCACGTTTCTGAGACACATGCGTGCCACAGCAGTGGTGCTGACAGGACGCGCTGCAGCCTCCAGTGCCGCCCTGAGCACCCCCCTCACAAAGCTGAGATGAGTTTCTCTCCTCCTTCCTGTCCCACCAGAGCCAAGGTCAAGAGCTTTCTGCTGATTTACAAGAGCCCATGTCACTTCTGCACTTCAGTAAACCCGGACGGGGACTCGTCGGCAAAGGTGAGTTGAGCGTTCTGCAGCAGGAGGGTAACGACATGCCAAACACACAGCTCAGCACCACGTGGAAAACCAACACAAAATCCATCACATACCTCATATTAAGAGGGGGAAACTTTTAACATTCCTGCAAAAATCATAGAATATCTTCAGAGTCTTGTGTGAGGCAGACTTTTCTTCGATAGATACCAAAAGCACTACTTCACAAAAAAAGGATACATTTGACTTTAAGCATTTAAAATTATTTCTTCAATTGTCACCAGTAAAGGAATGAAAACATAAGCCACAGACTGAAGTAAAATATGTGCAAGTCATACACTTTTGTACAGAATATTTAAAGAACTATGAAAACTCAGGAATACACAACAGCTCAGTTTTTAAACAGTGAAAGATTTGAACACACTCTTCACCAAGGCAAACATATCCATGAGAAACAAAGCACACAAAATGGTTATCAACATCATTTGCCACTAGGGAACCAGTAGCTAAAACCACACTAAGATACCACTGCACCCCATTAGCATAGCTGCAAGAAAACAGATTAATGATACCATCCAGGCACAAGGCTTCACACCTAAAATCCCAGAGCTTTGGGTGGCCCACGACTCAGGAGGATCCCTTGAGGCCAGGAGTTTGAGACCAGTCTGGGCAACATAGCAAGACCCTGCCTCTAAAAAATATAGTTTTAAAAAGATGATCAATACCAAGTGTTGGTGAAGACATTGGAGAACTGGAAGTCTCGTCCATTGCGCATGGGGATGAAAGATGATGCCACATCGGCAAGCACTCTGGCAAAGCTTCAGATGCTGAGCGTATACTTATCATATGACCCAGCACTCCCACTCCCAGGCCCCTTCCCGACGCTCAGCTGGCCTCCAGGCGCGCACCCCGCTCGCCGGGCTCATTTTTGTATTTTCTTATAGAGAGAGGTTTCACCGTGTTAGCTGGGATGGTCTCGAGCTCCCTGACCTCCGTGATCCGCCCGTCTCGGCCTCCCAAAGTGCTGGTTTGACGGCTTGAGCCACGCGCCCCGCCG